CTATCATAAACATCTTTCCAGAGATGTTGGGACCTTCAGTCTCCCGGTGACAGGAAACCAGTTGTAAAGTTGTAAAACTCAGTTGTTTTAGATGTAGCTAATGATTTAACTCTGAGGCTCTCCTCCTCCCAATTGAATGGCAGTATTACTTTTAGGGATCTGACAGATAAACAATATTTACATACCTTTCTAAAGAGATAACTAATTGCCAAAAAGTAAACCAAAAGATCAAAGTCCAGTTGCCTCCTGAAAAAAAGCATCTTTGGGACATTCATACAGATGGAGACATTTGCATAAATAAGCCATGCGCAAGGAACATGACCGCCTGAGTCTTATCGCTCCGGTTTCTGGGGAAGAAACGCCTAAAAAGGTATGGAGCCGAGGGTTGAGGACTGAAATAGAAGGGTTAGAATGCAAGAACAAAATAGAGGCGATTCGGTGAGGCAGCTCATGGAGGACAATATTGCTTCTGGAAGAGCTGTTCTCAGAAAACGCTACCGATCCTGCAACTATCCCACCAGCTCCGGTCACCATCTTACCGGCTTTAATCATCACGACTGCCATTTGGGGCGCCGACCTGGCTTTGTCGTGTCGGAGGGACCACCGGTTCATCGCTGTCCCATCTGTCGATGTTCCATCTGTCTCCAGCCACCGTTCCATCTGCTTTGGTCTGTTTTGGTCATCGTAGCTGGCCCTGCTGCATTGGGGCAGCTGCCGACCTGCCGCCACCCCACCTGCTCCAGTCGCCTGCTCCAGCTGCCGCAGCCGCTGCTCTGTTTGTTTGAGCCACCGCAGCTTGGCCTGCTGCTTGGAGGAGACTGCCCACTTGCTGACCGCTGTTTCATTCGCATTAGCCGTCGACCTGCCACTGCTGTCTTAGGGGGCAGCCAACTTGTCGCTGTTTAGCCCACCCGGCCACCGCGACCGCCGTCCCATCGCCGCCAGCCCGGCTTTGCCACTTCGGGGGCACTGGGTCATGCCGTTGTGCCGCCCTGCCACCCATTGAGCCTTGGAGCTGGAGAAGCCTGTGTTGGTGTGACCTGGAGCTGGAGCTGGGTGGCTGGCCTTTCTGCTGCCGCCATTCCATCTTGGATGCAGCTCCCCCACCCTCCCTCTTCTTCTTCACTGTGGCGTTGGTTTTGGACATNAGATGGGTTGGGGCATCTCGGGCCACACAAGCATTGTAGAGTTCATCACTCAGCCCATCCTTGAACCAGCTTACCAGGATATCGTCTGGCCAGTTCACATGACATGCGAGGTCTCGGAATTCTTCGATATATTCTGCCGGCATCCCTGCTTCACAACTTTAATGCAGTCGCATGCTTTCCAGTCTGCGAGGGGGGTCCTCAAACCATTGTTGCAGGGCCATCATGAACCGATCAACATCCCGCAGTTCTGGTGCATCAGCATCATGTAAAGTCACCATCCATCTGGCAGCGGCTTCTTCCAGGGCTAGAGTGACCACTCACACTCAGGCTCCTTGGGTTCAAAAATCACACCCATAGTCTTGCATGTAGGTGAGCATGTGTGCCACAAAGAATCCCATTTTTTTCGGGTTCCCATAAAATGTTACCCCCAGGAAAGGAGTTTTCCTTTCTAACTGCAGGTTTCGGGTTTTTTTTTTTTTAAATTGAACATTTATAGGCCGCCCTTTTCCCTGAGGGGTTGGTTCGGAGTGGCCCCCAACCCATGCGCCAACTGGGTGGGGGGTTTTCTGGGTTTCTAGCTGTTGCTGCTATGCTGTCAGCTTGATCAGCAGGGACTAGAAGGGGGTGAGTTCCCTGGCATCACCCCCATTTGCTGGCCTTCCAACGCTTCTCAGTTGCTGGTCTGGCTCCCCCCGGATGTTGAGATTTTCCAAAATTTCCATCACCAACTTTGTTGCATGCCTCTTCAGGTGCTGGCAAGGCGACGTGGCGGATTTAAATGTGGATTGGTCCAGTGCCGGGAGGCAGTAGCTTCGTAGGGCAGGCCTGACTGGAGGAAGGCTGCAGTGGCTAGGCAGTGCCGTAGTTGGTCCACGTGGCACCACCACTGTCTCCCATTTGGAAGGCTGACCCTGTAGGAACAGGGGCCGGTTACTTGGCTGATGGTGATAGGCACCCACTGAGGGTCCCCTGAAAAATTCTTGGCATACACCAGGTCCCCCTCTCCAAAATGGCATGGAGCTCCCCCTAGGTTGCCAGGCTGCAACACCCCATAGGATGGGTGTAGCCTGTTCAAGGTGGTCTGCAGGTGCCAGCCCATCAGCAGCTCTTCTTCTTCTTCTAGATGCTGTGAGAGTGAGTCTTCTTTCAGTATCACACCTTCGTGTTAGATTCTGGACAAAAGACAAAACTCGTACAGCTGAGGTAACTGGAACGAACAATTTATTAACAGCAATGGAACAGAGCACAACTATTTACAATTCAGCACCACGCCCTGCTTGACAGCTATTTATACTCAAACTGTCAAGCAAGGCAGCCAATAGGAAGACAGCAGAAAGCCCACTCTCAGCCCGGTGCGTCTTAACCAATAGGCGCAAGCCTCTGGTTGCTGGGCTGACAGTCGGCCTGTCATTCGTATGTCGAGGACTTGCGGCTGATCGCAAGTCGAGGACTTGGGACCGGTCGCAAGTCGCGGACATAACAGTTATGCTATTACAAAAATCTATGTGGCCACTCTTGGAATACAGTATTGTTTTCTGTTCTGACACTTGCATCTTAGAAAGGGAAAGATTGCTGGGGGGGGGGAGGGGGTGCAATCTCATTAACACAATAAGGTTTTGTGAGCATATAGATTATTTTGAGGGCATGTAGTTCACCATTAAAATAAGAACATATTTTTGTATTTTGGGGGGTTATTTGGACAGTAGGTTTCGGGCATATTTAGGAATGTATCCTGCCAAATTCAGGCAGATAAGCCTAAAGGAATTTTGCTAAAGAAACATTAACAAACTTTGGAACATTGAAATCAACTCTTAATATAATTTATTATTATTATACAATTGTATCACAACGGCCAGTTGTTTCGCCGGATTTGGCATTGGTTACTAGTCAGGCTCCACCCAGTGGCCTAGGATGTT